TACAGGACTATAAGAATACATTTCCCAAATGGAAACCAGGAAGCCTAGCAACTCACGTCAGAAACTTGGACGAGAATGGCTTGGATTTGCTCTCAGTAAGGGGTGCCCTGAACACCAACTTTCACAATGATTCTAGATCCCTTGTGTTCTTGTACTTGGGGGAGGGGATCAAAACCCAAATTTCTTGAGCTGGTCTCCAAACTTGGGGTTTTTATTTACTTGCTCCAGTTGCTCTACAGGAAAAGGATGGACTTTCTCCTCTTGTGAGATTTATTAGCCTCTGAAAATCCACTGGGAGGTCCAGCTTTGAGTTAATTCTGACTCGCTACCACACCTGTATAAATTGTAAATTAGATTTGGATTCAAATGTTACTTTTCTCCCACTCCAGCTCTAAATTCGAGCTCACCTAACTCTTTGAGCCTCAGTTTTAACCTCTTCTTGAGATGTGTAAATTCATACTAGATATCTCTAAGCGCAATTCATTTAGTAAGTTGGGTTAAGTGTTGTAATACATTGGATTCTAGGGATTTTCTAAAACTTGGAACTTGCTGGAATCTAAATCAGAAAAACACTATTCTTAAATACTATCTTTTTAAGAATTTTATAAGTAACTCAAATGAAAGAGGGACAGCATAGGACAGAAAGGCCTCAGATGAGATGGATTTTTACAGTAACTGAGGCAACGAGGGTAGGTTTGTCAGAGTTGGTGAGATTAGGACAAGACAGGGTCTAGAGCTATGAGTCACATACTACCACCAAATGGCCTTTTAAATCTTAAATTAATTAGATACCTTTCTTAAATGTTATCTTGGTTCTAAAGTTATCTGAATGTTTTCATTTTACTATAATCTATGACCAAGAAAAGGTGATAGCCTATCTGATTTGAAGAGTAGATTATTCCAGAGCATGAGGGTGTAATGGAAATGTCTACTTAATATATTTTCACTAAAATTAATTAGCTTATTACTAGATGAAAGTTATACAAGTGTTCAGGCCTTTCATTCATAGGGTCGCTATGAGTTGTCTGTGACTCGACAACACAACAACAACATTGATAGATAGGGAAAGGAAGATGTTTTTAAATGGTTAACTTTCTAAATAAATACTTAATATCTATTTCTCTGTTTTCTTTCCCTAGAAAATGTTAGTCTATGATCCTGCCAAGCGAATTTCTGGCAAAATGGCACTGAATCATCCATACTTTAATGATTTGGACAATCACATTAAGAAGATCTAGCTTTTTGACAAAAAGTTTCTACATATTATATGAACAGTCATACTTTTTACTGTTAATGCTATTTTTGTCTTGTGTACTTTTCTGTGTTGTAAAACTCAGTCTGTATTTCATCTTCTAATTCCCAAAGTGTAACTTAAGAATGTAAATATTGTTCTATATGAATTTAAATATATAATCTGTATATGTATGTCTGTCTCTAACAACTGTTTGTTACGGCAATAAAAGTATAACTCTAGTATTGCTGTCAGGAATCAGGACAGATTTGGGTTGGTGTAAATCATCTCAGTCTTTACTTGGAATTTTTGCAAGTTGGAACCAGTAAATTTTAGGGAAATGTGTTTACAAGTTCAAGTTTTATAATGCTCTCAAGTATTTTTATATGCTCTGAATAGTAAAATTTTATGCAAGTTTCTTGCCATGTGGTAACTGTACAACCTGGCTAAAGATGAATTTATTTCTGTTGGCTTTTCACTTTGTGACCGTTTAGATTTAAGCATTCTGAATGAGAAAGCTAGCCAGATCTAGGAAGTTGTGCTACGTTTATAGGAATTTTTGGTGAATTGTAGAACAAACATTAAAGAATCCCCAAGTTTTTGCAAGGTTTTAACAGTCAAAAACCGAGAGCTGTCTACAGCAGGGCAGAAAACTTTGAAAATACGTGAAGTTTCCTATTTTTAGTTAAGTTCTGAAAGCTATTTGTGTGCATTTTCATGCACCAGTCAGAATAATAGCTGCACACAGGTGTTTATCTTGACTTTCAAAAGTCTGACTTAAAAAATCTCTGCATACTGTGAAGGAAAGATGGGCAGTCTCCTACCATGCAGTTTGCAGCCTCTGAAAACCTGGAGGGTCAACTAGGAGGCAGCAATGAGTTTATTACCAGGCCCTTAAAAAGATTCTAAAGAACAATTGTTTATTTAAAACCTCCAACTTCAGGAATTAGGCTTAAAGTGCTGCTCATTGTGATCCTTAACTGTGAGCAGCTATTTTTAAAAGCTATGTATGTTTGAGCCAAGAGAAATGTCTATAAATATAGATTTTCTTCATGATAACATGTGGGTTGTAGGATGAACAGTTTTGCATTGTTGATGGTTAGGCCCAAATGATTCATCAGCTATGTGTAGATGCAGCTACTTGGTTCATGCTCCTCAAATTTCTTAATTGGAACTTTGCACTCTCTAGGAGAAAGTGATTGAATCTCTTGGCTGTGGGTAAAGAAAGGTGCTGTTTTTGTTGCTTTGAGCTAGGGTGTTTGATGAGAGCCGGTCGCAGGAAGAGAGTGCAGAGCCTGCACTAATAGTTTGGGGTTAGATGGTGCAGTGCTATTAATTGTGGGAATTTGGTAAATATAATTGGGGTGCTGGTAGCAATGGCATAGCAATCACTACTTGTGATTTTTGTAGTTTTGTCTTTGGACAAATCTGTACCTACAGACCAGTGTTTTTACAACCTAAGTGAGTTGTTGAACTAGATCCAGTTTTTCCATTGGGGATTAATTTCGATAGACCGCCATTCATAAAAGAAAAAAAATAGATTTAAAGACACTTGTTCCAGTGGTATGTATTTGTATGGATGTGAAGAACTTGCAACCCTCTGTGTATAGTACAGAAGCAGTATACAACCTTACTTAATGCATTTTGGATTCGGATTGTTTTAAAATAGTAAATAATGCATCAATTTAGTGTTGACTTAGTTATCAGTTGCTATAATGAGTAACCTACATATCACCTATTTGTGTAAAATAAATTAATTCAGAGACCAGATGAAAACACTGGTGAATTGAGAACTCATTGCATGCTTGTTACTGGCTTTTGGTGAGGTGCTTTTGGTTAATTTTTAAATTGTTGGCTGTGGTTCTTGTACACTAGAAACATGTAGGGTCTCTTGCCTTTTCTGAACTACTCCCAGATTTTGAACATTGGGGAATACACTCTGGGAATCTTTCAAACACACCACCAGGTGATTCTGATACAGCCAGTTATCACAGTGGTGTGCTGGAAAATTACAGAACTTGTCTTAAAACTTTTGTCTGTTTTATTTTGTTTTTTTGTCTTAAAACTTTTGTACATCAGTCTCGGAAATGGAACGTAATTTGGCTTGTCCTGTTTTTTTTTAGACTGCACCTCTTTAGTGGGGGAGAAGTACCTAATTTATCACTAGTACAAGGTGTTTATATATTTGAATGCGAACACTAGAGAGGAACACTGCTCACCTCAAGAAGGATTTTTCCTGTTATTTTGAAACACAAAGGCAATTATGCAGAAATGTTGATACAAAACATAGAAGAAATGTAAGAATTTGTATGTTATGGCATATGTGAATTAAGTAACTGGAAGAAAATGATAGTATTTTTCAGAGTTAATAAAATGACTCTGTTAAAAGGTCTTTTTGGATCAATTGTTCTAATCCATGGAGCTGATAGATCATGCCAGATAGAATGGTGGAAAATGTAGAATAAACTCAGATACCCTTTAAACCTGCCTGACATGAATCCCAAAGGTCCTTACCTAGGTAATAACTGGCTCAAAATAATGATCCATCCTACACTCATTCTTTTTACATCTCTGGTTTTCCTTTTATATAGCATGCTAGGATAAACTTTCTTGACTTTTCATGAATAATCATTCCTAAGTCCTGTGCTGTAAAATACAGGATATCAAAAGTCAACATTTACCCCAAGTTTGCTTGGCCCCACAGTCAGCACTCTTGGAACCAGCAGCCAGGAACTCAAGAAGCAAATTGCATTGGGAAAATCAACTGTCAGGGACCTCTCAAGAGTACTGGACAGCAATGATATCAGGATGGAGACTAAGGTGTGCCTGACTTTAGTCTTCGTAATTACATGCTATGCATCAAGAGAGTTGGACAGTGACTAGGGATGATGGAGAATTGATGCCTTTGAGTTGGACAGTGACTAGGGATGATAGAGAATTGATGCCTTTGAGCTGTGGTGCTGGAGAAGAGTGTTGAATATACCAAGGACTTCTAGGAGAACAAAGAGGTCCTGGAGAGGGTGAAGCCGCGCTGCTGCTTGGAGTCAAGGATTCTGAGGCTTTGTCTGACATACTTTGGGCAGGTTGCAATGAACTGCATCAGGTTTGGGAGAGTGCAGATACAGTGGAGGAGAGGAAGACCCTCGAGATGGATCGATTCTGTGACAGGTGGTGGTGTGTTTGAGACGTCGAGGTTGGCACAGGATAGAGCAGTGTTTGGGCCTCTTGTATGTAGGGTCACTATGAGTCGCAAGCAACTTGACAGCACATAACAACAAAGATAAGATGATAGAAGGGGACTGGGACTCGAGTGAAGGGGAACAACCAGGATGGGAAGAATGTTGACAAGTTGTAACCAGTGTCACTGAAATTTGATAAATGAGACTAATTTAACATACTCTAAACCAGCACCTAAAAGAATTTATAAAAAAAAATGTTTTAAAGTTTGGGAATAATAGGCTTAAAAAGACTTCATTTGATACTTCTTCAGTACTATACCTAGTATTTAGCCAAGTCAGTGGGGTGTACTACAGGCTCATGCAGTCATACTGTGGACAAAGATTTAGTGGTTTTGTTTGTTTGCATTTGCTCAACATTTTCCGTTTGAGGGAGGAGAGGAAGTAGATTTGGAAGCAAGAGAAGACAATTTTCAGTCCCATGCATGTTCTAACTAGACTTTAAACCTTCAGGACTGGATGGTAAGGAGGGAAAGGGGTACTGTGACAGAATCTAAAGTGTGTATCATCAATCTAATGTCCATGTCACTTAAAGTAAACATGTTTATAAAGAAAACAAATATGCAGGTAGATAAAATTTTTGAGGTTAGGTATAATTGGTCATAGTTTCGCAATGATAAAGGTTTCAGGTGTCACAACAGGTTACAATTTTTCCAGCCTTAACATTTCTGTCATTCAACTTGAGTATCCCTTCAACTGAATGGTGTTGCTGGGCTGCTGTCAGTTGGGGCCAGCTCTTAGTAACCTTCGGTACTACGCAAACTGCTCAGTTCTGTGGCATGAAGGATCTTCCACCCTTACAGTCTACTTTTCCAAGCATGATGAACTAGAAGAACTGCCCCCTGACAACATGCCCAAAGTATGTTCAACAAAGTTTCACCATCTTGCCTCCAAGGAGCACCCTGGATACACTTTCTCCAGGACAGACCTGTTCACTTGGCAACCCATTATTCAGTAATCTTTAGCACTACAGCTCAAAGGCACCAACTCTTCTGTCATCCTTAGTCATTGGCCAGCTTTCAGATGCATAGCAAGCAATTGAGAGGACTATGACTTGGATGAGGTGCACCTTAGGCTTCAGGCTGACACTTGCTCCTTAGCACTCTGGAGAGGTTCTTGACAGCATATTTTCCCAATGCAACTCGTCTTGGATTTCATGACTGCTGGTGCCAACTATGAGGAGATTGTGGATTGAAGTAAGATGAAATCATTAACAACTATAATCCTTTATCTATTATAATGCTGCCTATTGGCCTGGTGGTAAGGTTTTTCGTTTTCTTGATGTTGCAGTATATTCCATATTGAAGACTTGGCCTTGATCTGCAGCAAATGTTTCAAAGTCCTCAATTTCAGCAAGCAAGGTTGTGTCATCTCCATAACGTAGGCTGTTGATGAGTCTTTTTTTTTTTTCCCATTCTGATGTCACACTTTTTGTAAAGTCCATCTATTTGAATGATCTGTTTGGTATAGAGATTAAAAAGGCAGGGAAAAACAATGCATCCCTGACACCCCTTTCTTGATTTTGACCAGACACACACAGTATCTTCATCTAGGTATAGGTTTCACATGAGCACAATCAAGTGCTCTAGGATTCCCATTTTTCTCAATGTTAGCTATAATTTGTTGTGATCCACACAGTCAAATGTCTCTGCATAGTCAGTAAGTAGACATCTTTCTGGTACTCTCAGCCAGGATTCATCTGACATCAGCAATAATGTTCCTAGTGCCTCTTCTAAATCCAATTTGTATTTCTAGAAGTTCTCTGTTCATG